CTTCGTGGGAAGGATCTGTTTGGAAAGAATGCTTCTGACCTGTGCTTGGTTCCAAATGTTAAGGTTCCGCCAAAGTTTAAGGTCCCTGATTTTGAGAAGTACAAAGGAAATACTTGTCCTCAGAGTCATCTTATTATGTATGCCAGGAAGATGTCAGCCCAAACTGATAATGACCAATTGCTCATTCATTATTTCCAAGACAGCTTAACAGGCGCTGCGCTCAGGTGGTATATGGGATTGGATAATACAAAGATTAGAACTTTCAACGATCTAGGAGGAGCCTTCATCAAGCAATACAAGTATAATGTGGACATGGCTTCAAACCGTGACCAATTGAGGGCCATGGCTCAAAAGGACAAAGAAAATTTCAAAGAATATGCTCAGCGTTGGCGCGAGTTAGCTGCACAAGTCATACCACCATTGGAAGAAAAGGAAATGACCAAGATTTTTCTAAAGACTCTGGGTCCGTTCTTTTATAAGAAAATGGTAGCAAGTGCACCCAGTGACTTCACCGAAATGGTCAACACGGGCATGCGTTTGAAAGAGGGGGTCCGTGAAGGAAGACTAGTCAAGGAAGGGAGTGTTGTGCAGCAGGGACGACCCAAGCGAGTATATTTGCCATCACATCAGGTTGCTGCGGTTCATCAGCCACCACATCAACAAAATCAACAAAATCAGAATCGTATACACAAAAGACTAGACTTCGATCCCATCCCGATGACATACACTGACTTGTTCCCATCTTTGATCCAAAATGGTCACATCCAGACGAGAGCTCCACCTAAAGTACCTAAGAAACTCCCGTACTGGTACAAAGCTGACAAATTTTGCCTATACCATCAAGGTGCTCCGGGCCACGATACCGAAAACTGTTACTGTTTAAAGGCAGACTTCCAAAGGTTGGTTAAGGATGGAATTTTATCCTTTAAGGGCTCCATTCCTTATGTGCAAGGTAATCCCCCACCTCAGCATGGTTCGTCCTCCGCGAACATGATCCAAGGTTATTCGGGAAGCTCATACCAATATAGTGCCTGAAAATGGATCTGAAGGCGACACATCAGACAATTTTGCAAGCTTTTCCGTGCAAAGGCTGAATAAAATCCTGAGAAAGGGTCATCAAGATGTTTTTCTTTCCGCATTTCATTTCTTTGATTAAAAGCACGTTTGGCTTGTATGACTTGTTTATTTTGAATAATTAATGCGATAAAATGTTTGTCTTGAAGAAATTTATTTGTTTCACTCGTAAAACATTTCTCACAATTTATAATGCCGACTATACCCAATCCTCTCACTGTGGTAAATAATTGGAGGGAGGATGATGAAGTAAAACGCAGGATCTCTCGTTGTATGCTTTTGAAAAAATCTACTAATGATGTAAGGCATTCATGTTTCAAACATCCTAATAACACCAGAAATAGTCAACCTTTCTTTTAAGCCTTGAGAAAAGATTTGTTTTTTTTCTCTCCCAATCAAAAACTCGCTTTTAACCTGGGGCAGGGCAAAAAAAAATGAACATAAAAAAAAATCTGGGTGGGCACAAGTATAATTTGACCTTTATTCCTCCACTTTACAAATCACAGACTAAGCCCAGATATAACCTTCCAAAGTCCTAATTGAAGTAACGTTTAGTTCGAAAGCATACTCGATGAGATATCGTTTCCTGACTCCTTGAGCTATGCTCAAATTAAATCGGCTTTATAAATAATTTTAATTTATATCCCAACTAGTGATTTCGATCACAAGTTATAATGATATCTCTTTTCAAAACTTTAAGACAAACGCGTGTTGCATTACCCGTTTCGAAATTAAGATTTTTGACTTGCTAAAAGCGCTTGATATCTTAGAAAGATCACATACAAATGTTGATGTATTTGAAGACTTTGCCAACCTGGGGCAAGTTATTTTCCAAGAGGTTTGATCCACATGAGTTTGGCTTCATCTAAAGCACAAATTGGAAAACTCGGTTATATCATCAATCAGGGGAAGTTACGTCGAGCTTCTGCGAACCTCTACAAGAGTTCGAAGACAGTGGGGGCATCTAGATGAGACGACCTTTTCTCATTTGACTTGGGGCATCTGAAATTTAAAGCGAAGCAGATGTTTATTTCATCCCCATGAAGCCTCGACTCCAACATATTCAACAGCTTTGGTTTCCTAAAGCAAGCATACATTCTCCAAACCATGTTTGACTTGTGAAGATTAGGTTTGAGTGCCCTCCGCCGAGATGCTTATTCCATCTCTGTCTGTTTTGTCAGCATCAGCATACGCATAACATATAGATAGATAACATAGCATATGCATTTTGTTGCATCCTTTTGTTGTTTGTTCTGTCGCTTTGGTCGTGTTTATCCCCGAGTGGTTGGGCGTGTCTTTTCCTTCAAAGTAGGATTGTCAACCCTAGGCAGAAAGAGCACAATATTTCTACTCTCCTCATGAAATTCAATCCTCATGGAAGACGGTTGTTTTAGTACGTTCCCATTTGAGTTCATACCTCAATGGTCGGGTCTTGTTTGACAGTTTCTCTTCAGTTATTCCCTGAATTGAACTTCAGTCCTTGGCAATCACATTGTGGACGTCTCCAACTCTTGAACATGGATTAAGTGTGCATTCATTTTGCACTTGGCTCCCCAGGAAGAGTTTTTATGAAGACAACTATTGAAGACAAATGTTTCTCCACCAAATATTATCAGAATTCCTCAACAGTTTGCATCCCGATTGCAAGCAATCTCTTAATTTGAGCAACTCGTTTTGACCAATATTCCCTTCAAAACGGCAAATGACAGTGGATTTATCAAGATTATCAATTCGTCAAATGGCATCCCTTCGAGAAGCTTGCCAAAGACATTACAAGACACCTCTCTTTATTTGAGATTTCACAGAACATTTTACAACTACAACAAGAAATACTCTCTAGGAATGATTTCCCCAAAGAGTTCATCACAAGAATAATTCTACCAAATGACATATATTCTTAAGATCCCCGTTGGAGCTTTACAAATCTCCAGTACATCCTTTTGGGTTAGGCACCTTTTCTTAGGTTGTCATACGTTTGGTAGTAAGTGATCTTTCCTGCTTTGGGTTATTACTTTTGCTTAGGTTATCATACATTTGATAATAGGTAATATACCGTCCTTTTTGGTCAGATACCTTTGCTTAGGCTGCCAAAATTGGTAGTAGGTCATCTTTCCTTTGTGTTTACTATCATATGTTTGATAGTAGGTATAACACAATCTTTCTTTTGGTCAGATACCTCTGCTTAGGCTGCCAAAATTGGTAGTAGGTCATCTTTCCTTTGTGTTTACTGTCATATGTTTGATAGTAGGTATAACACAATCTTTCTTTTGGTCAGATACCTTCGCTTATGCTGCCAAAATTGGTAGTAGGTCATCTTTCCTTTGTGTTTACTATCATATGTTTGATAGTAAGTAATATACCGTCCGTTTTGGTCAAATACCCTTGCGTAGGCTATCATATACTTGATGGTAGATAACATGCGATTCTTGCTTCAACCGGATACCTTTGCTTAGGCTACCACGCGTTGGTTATCCATCACATTCAAGATTTCTATTTCACTGTCCAAACTATTGTACTCCTGGTTGTATTGCTATATTGTATCTTCATTTTGGGAGAATCCATAATGTTAATCGCGGTCTCTTCTCGTGATGTCTTGCATCGTCGGGTCTGTTGTTTGGGTCCCGTGTTCGGTTATTCCATTGTGACATCTTTCCTCCACGGGTTTCTTTGTCTCGCCTCTCATGTCATTGCATATCATTTGCATTCGGTGGCTTCTTAGGGCCAAAAATTCGCGCAATGTTTGTATTTAAGTCCCTCCTATCTCATCGAGACGGAGATCTCAATCTCCATATCTCCGGATAGAAGTAACTTAAATAGGGGCATCTGTTGCACCCTAATTTTTGACCGCGAGATCCCACCTCTTTTCGCGCACTTTCTGTTGTTATTCGACTTTCATTTTTTTTATGTCTTATGGCTAACCTATTCGCAGAGATAGCGCTCATTCCCACAGTTGGATACTTCAAGGCATAACCAACGGACCCTGATCAGAGACGAATCTTTACCTACATCTCTTTAAAGTCACAAAAGGATTTTGGGTTCGAATGGCCATGACCTTTGATTATTAAGGATCCTCGGAAACAAAGTCATGATATAGAATACGGAGCCGTGATCAAGACAAGTTATGCGAGTTTGGAAATATTCAAATTACAGATTTCATCAACTTGAGTATGAATCGGAAAACACGCAAGTATGTCATCAATCATTTGAAAAAGGGCTTAGCCACATAGAGATGAAGAATCAACGGTGTTTCCCTTCGCAAAACCGTGATTTCATTTCCAAAAGAAAGCTCTGTTTGCAATTTAAAATGCACACCAAAAGTACGTTTTGAAACCAGCTGAAGGATAAATTGACATAGTTACATTTTTCAACAAATTAAAAAAGTACAGGATCCTTCATTTTATTGCATAATACAGTTGTTACAGCAAACCAGAGTGAAGTTCATTTTTCTCCACATTAGCATTGGTTTTAAACTTTTGTTACATGATCCTATCAGTTACAAGCTACCTTATCAGTTCTACACAGCTCAGAACCACCATAACAGGCCATCAATTTGTAAAATGCAAGCTTATCCCGGTGGAGGTCACAACATCGCCAATGAGCACAACAACGATACAAAAACTTTTTCCACTGATAACTCAGAAGATTACCCTGTTCAATACAAACCTAAGAAAACAGGGTCATGCTTGACTATCGGTTCTCTGTGTCAAGCATATATTCATAGCAGCAATTGTTGTTTAGGTTGCTGGCCTGTTGAGAGTTAAAGGACACTCGTAAGTTGCAACTGGTGTCATCGACGGTGACGAACCAACTGATAGGAGCTCCTACATTTTTTTTAGCATTTATAATTACTGCATCGGTTAGGCTGCTGCTAACGTCTCCTGTAAATAGAAGCACATACACAGTTAATCAACCGCCAAATATGACGTTCATGTAGGATTGAAGAAGAAACATGAGATTGAGACGACAACACCCTTTCCAATAGATCTCAGCGTGCCGCAATCACAGGTTTCTTTCGCAATGAGTTGCTGCATAATGAAAACCTGCGTTATCATCGAAAAAACTCATTAAGGTGATAAAAAAACACGGTACAGTGGTTGGTAAGGCCATCATAAGAGCCATCCAATAATTTTGGGCACAGAGTGGTGTCTGACTTCAAAACAAACGCGGAACCTGGACCGTAAAATCATTGCCAAAGTGTAGAAGAGGATAATACCTTAGCAGTAACAGCAGGATTACCGGGCTCCAAGACTCGGACTGAGGGGGAAGAGTTTTGCACATCGCTATCAGCTGTCTCGAGATTTATCGTCATCAAGAGAAGTGAGATTCAAAGCCAACCTTCCACAAGAGAAAACAAGAAAGATCAATTGAAACTGCCATTGTTTGTAAGCAAATACTAAAGTGAGACCCAACCCTCAATCTACCTGCAAGAGCAAGGTCCGACATTAGTCTCTAAAAGAAAACAACATAAGAACTCACGATACTGAGAACTAGAACACCTCACCAAAATATCCTCACACCAATGCTTTGGGTTCACCGAACATCTTTACCACAGCTAGCAGAAATCATTATCGCCCCTGCAGAACAACAACCAGCGAGTCAGATTCAAAGCGGAAATTAACTAAACGACTGTTCAACTTGGATCGCTTCAAACGAGTACTGGCTTCCAACCCAACTTGACAACACGCTTCTGAAAGTGATCATCAAGCGTATGCGACTGCCCTAACCTGCCAGGACCAAAGTCAAGACCTTCATTAACTCACAACAGCATTTCCAGAACCATGGTCGAAGCAAAGAGATTCTCTTCTGCAATTTACAAAGCCATCAAAACAATACCCAAACTCCGCAAGAGGTGCCAGCATAATTGCCCTCATCATGTTTCCCAAGAAAGATGCTCTGCAAAGCACGTCCATATTTTAGTTAGCCATCATTTTGTCTGAACCCTTCGACTTGCTTGGTCACCGTGCTTCATAGCATATCAGCACCTGACAAACATTTGAAGCATTAACCACGAGAACATTATAATTACGTATTGATTCCGCAACAGACTATCACCACCACAAACGCAACTTCTGCTAAATTTTGTAAAGAAAACCGAAAGAGTGAACTCACTGTCAATGATTGATCCACGAGTTTGCAACGCACGGAAAGAAACCATCCTTATAATCAAGTAAGAAACTCAACACGGGATAATCAGATCCGTGGCAGCCTTTGCAACTCTTCAAAACCGGTACCAAGCACTATCAAACTCCCACGACTGTTGCACAGTATCATTTACGTCGGAGACGGTCAGAGAGGTGAGCTTTATATGCGCGAACTTCAGGGATAAAACCAGGTCCGAGATTCATAATCCTTTTAAAGAATAAGGCCGTCGATAGCAAGAGAACTCAATACAAGAACACAACAACTGTCAGGAAATGACATACCATTGCTACAGAAATGGCAGCTCATGTTTGATTCCAACACCACCTTCACGCCATGCCCTGTGAGGTTACCGTTCAGGCATGTTCCAGAAGAAGAAGGTCAGCCGACTTCATAAAGAACAGCCACGCTCCTGCAAAGCAAATTCATGTGTCAGTATCGTTGCCATGCTAGGACTTAGACAATCACGCAAGATCACACCGAACAAATTCGCAGGGAGCTTAAACTGATTGTCCTCTTCTCTGAGTTCAACTCACAACGGCAATCGCCTGCCAAGAAGGTTAGAAACAACAAGAGCTTATTAAGACATAAGCGGAGCAACTCATAATGAGAAGAATTCAAGACTAAGTTAACTTCACCATCCTTGGCAGAGTTGTTCCAAATGGCGACATCAGTGCAACAGTTTCAAGCATAATTTCCTGAATTTACAGTACCCGAATTTTGTGAGCAAAGTTTTCTATTCTTAACACTTGTTTTAACATAAAGGAAGTCGAGTTTGCTACCTCTCAAGCAAAGTTGCCCTTTTGACGAGAACGGTGTTATCAGCAACATCGAGCCAACCATCTGAATTCATCAACCTCCCATCTGAGAACATCGAACTACGTGCAAAGAGCAACAGAGGAGTTAATATGACCCCGAATGTTAAATACCACAAGCTCTTACTTGCTAAAATAGGACACACCCTTTTGAAATCAAAGATACAGCAACTAACTCAGCACAGGATTTTAAATCTTGATATTTGTTTCCAAAACAAGGTTCAACAAAAGTTGTCCGAATTAAAGCTTTTCACAAGACAGCCAACGTAATTAAATCAGGAATGATTTACCTTCCAAAATTGCCCAGACATGTCTAGCCGAAGATGGAAAAGTATGAATGACCATTGACTCCAGGCGGCTATAAAAGAAGAAGGAGATTCAGAGATTAAGGGGGACAATCCAAAAAACTCGCAACCTAGACGAGGTCCTTACGCACAGAAACCCTAAATTATAAATCATAAGAAGGAGAGGAACTTATCTTCCTCGTCACCCTAGCGCCGTTGTCACCTCGACCGCCATCATCCACAAGTCCGCCCTTTCCGTCCGCAAATCAAATATTCGCCATTTCCATTTCGCCGTCGACCATCGAGAACCTACGAAGGTAATCCATTCGCACCGTTAGTTTTGTACTACTGATTGGTGTATGTTTTTTTCAGGAAAACCAAATAAGAAAAACGGAGATCGGAGATGAGAAGGAAAGGCGATGGTAGAAGAAGGTGGAAGAGAGGAAATTAAAGGGAAGAAGGTTTGAATCAAAGATGACGAAATAAGAGGATAAACGAGAAATCTCTGTGAGAAAGAGGAAATCGGCAGAGAGAAAAATCCAATTTGGGATTTAGGGCTTTTGTCTTTTTGTTTGTTCGCTTTTATGTCGTAATCCTGTATGCACACACACTACCGTAGTTACGGTACACCACTCACATACACTCGTCAGATCCAACATCTGACACAATCACACACCCTACACACGCATCCACACCATAAGCCAACGCCTGCATCACACCAGATCCCCTTTATCCCCTAATCCTCCCGTTTAACTATTAATTAACACCCAATATGCCTTTAATTAGCCTTAATCATCCCTTAATCGGTTTTTTTTAATAAATCAACCCTTTCATAAATTTAATTAATGTTTTTACTTTATTAATTAATTCACTTTTCTAATTAAATCCTTCTCTAATCAGTTTTCCCTCAATTAAATTAATTTTTTTTGTTTAATTTACCTTTTTTTAACCCTTTTAATTAATTCTTTCAATTTTATTAATTAATTCAATGGTATTATTTCTTTTACTCAGCAATTCAATAATCCCTTTTATTCAATAAAAATATTTTATTTAGGAAAGACTTTTCTATATAAACAACTTATCCTTTTTAATAAACACACTACTAATTTTATTAATTTATCCCTTCAACTTAGTAACTTTTGTTATAAATCAAATTGTTCATACTCTCAAATCATTTCATATTCAGTATAACTTTTATACAATAAAACAAATCAAATAATAGTAAAAATCTTAATTCACCTTTTTATAACAAAATTTAAAAACTATTTATAGGAAGCTTTCTTTTATTAAAGCATGATTATTTAAAAATCATTTCTATCAGATTTATTAAAGAACTAATCAACTTATAACATTTTTCTTAAAACAAATTAATATAACACCTTCTTAAATTCAATTCAACCACCTCCCTCAAATTAACCCCCTAATAAAAAATAAAAAAACGATCAACAGCGTAAAAATACAAAATCAATCATGCACCAACGACACACTCACTCTCACACACTTCAGCGCTTTCATGCGTATGTGTATGGCTTTATCATTTCCGCAATTTATTTTTTCGCACTTATCGTAATTTATTTCATCATCGCATCGCATTGCATTTCGTCCAAAGGAAAAACCTACACATAATTCAACGTTGTGTGTAGTTGCACATCATTTGCATCATTTCCCCACGATCCTTGATTTCATTCAAGTTGATCGCTTAAGATAGATCCTACCCCATAGGAAGGACCATTATCTCTACAACTTAGACAAACAAACAACACTATACAACTTTTTCAAACACAATAGAGAATAGATGTTAATCATCTTAAGTGAGATATAATCTCCACCCCTACAATAATACAATCAAACATGTAGGAACTTTGCCTTAAGAGCGATAAAGGCATACTCGTCAAACAATCCGAGTACTTAAGCCCTTTTCTTAAGACGATGCAAAGACTATTTTCCTACAACCCCCTTTACACTTGTGGTGGTTACATCTCCCTTAACATGAAGACTCATCTCTTCTCCTAAACCCAATCAAAACAACTACCCTAAACCCGTAGGAACTTTGACCACAGTCAAAGAGCTCCTCTAACCCTTTAGGGGAACTACAAGTACTCTGATTCCACTCCCGTAAGGATATGTAGGCATAAGATACGATATCTTATCGAGTATACTTAGATATAAACCACTAGGGTCTCTAATCCTTTAAGCAGATAAACACATAGCAGTAAACAATATAAAACAAGAGGTTCCTGTAGGATACTACAGAAACTTAGGATGCTAATACCTTCCCTAAGTTTAACCAACCCCCGAACCTAAAACTCTCTAAACCTTGCATTTGCATTGCATTGTGGGAATTTCGATCTTTATCCCTTCCTTTGGACAAATCAAAGTTCGGTTGCAAAAATGAATTAAAGATTCAAACTAATCAATAGTTTGGTATCCAAATTTCACTGCGACAGGAACGAAGCTCTACGAGAACCTGGACCTGTTGAGGGAAAAGCGATGTCAATCGCGGGAATAACCTGCGTGGCCTTCATGGCTACGTCTTTAGAGATAACGACCCTGTGGGGAAACAACATCAGTTGTTCAACACTCCACTGGGGAAAACCAAGCATGGCTTGAGCAGCTTCCAAGGATTCGGCTCTCTTGGGGATCTGCAAACTCGGCTGAGGAAGGAGAAATCATTCTGCTTCGCTGAAGAGCACGACTCTGTGGGGAATCTCACTTCCGCTGGGGAAGAAGGAATCATCCGACTTCGAGGGAGAGTACGACTCTGGCGGGGAATTTCAATTCCGCTGGAGACTTCAGTCTTGCACCATCAGTTGCTGCATACTTCGGCGTACGAATAGTTTCCTACGAAACCTGCACTTGTGACCCGGTGCTGGGGGATGAACACGCGCTTCGGCGCCTGCCTCAGCTGAGGATATGACGTTCCTTCAGGACGTATCTGGTTGGGGAGAGAATCATCTCTGCCTGGGGAGACATATCAATGCTCATGATCTCGCGTTCAGACTCTGCAGGGAGAGGCTGCTGAACTCTGCTGGAGAAGGAGGAATCATCCTGCTTCAGGGATGCGTACGGCGCACTGTTTGGGACATGCTACACCTGTATCAACACAGACAAACAGACAAGATACCCTTCTCAAAGGGACCTATCAAGGTTATTATCTCGTGACAATATTCAGGTAATTCATTGTTTCAACAATCAATGGCCTAGGCCAGTAAGTTTATGTATGCGCATTTTATCAAAAACATCGGCGTTCTTTTTTGCAAACAAAACAGATAAATGCTAAACAGACAAACAGAATTGCTGAATAGTATACATTTTATTGATAACGAACCCCTGAATGGGTAAAAATATTTTACAACAGATGCAAGCTCCTGGAATGAGGAAGCTGCGCAAAAATAAAACATAAATATACGTCAGTATATACAAATGTCGGCAACGAGGCGTAGACGAACACCATGAGTTGATCCCTCTATGACCCACTCGACTTCGATACTTCTTCGACGCATCAGCTTCAGAAGAGATTGATTCAGATAAACGGCCCTCAGGTCTTCCGAACCACTAAACAATGAAAGTCCGCACGCGGAACGCAGTCATTTGCTTTTTCAAATCCCTAACTTTTGCGTGAACCGCCCTTTGCGGGTTTTCAGTCCACCGGGATACCCTTTTTTTCCGAAGCCGCCCAGTGTAGGTTTTCGACTTCGCGGGCATACATTTTTTCAATTTATATCCCTAATTTTTGCCCGAACCTTTTATTCTGTTTTTGGTTCGCCGGGATGCCCCATTTTTGCCTGGACTCTCTTTTTTTTGTCCAGCGGGTCACTTTCAAGCAAAGTATTTTTTAACTGTGTCCGCGTTCACCGGGGATGCAAAATCTTCACCATCCATCGTGGATAACAACAAAGCTCCTCCCGAGAAGACCTTGCTGACGACGTACGGACCTTCGTAATTCGGAGTCCACTTGCCCCGGTGATCGGAGTGTGGAGGAAGAATCTTCTTCAGGACGAGATCACCCGTCTGAAAGCTTCTAGGACGCACCTTCTTATCATAAGCTTTCTTCATTCGGCTTTGGTATAGACGACCAAACGCAATCGATGCTAACCTCTTCTCGTCCATCAGGCTGAGTTGGTTCAGTCGGTTCGTAATCCATTCTGCCTCATCGAGTTTCACATCAACCAAAACTCGCAAAGAAGGGATCTCCACTTCTAACGGTAGGACAACTTCCATACCGTACACCAAGGAGAAGGGAGTTGCCCCGGTTGAAGTACGTACCGTTGTAGGATAACCGTGCAATGCAAATGGCAGCATCTTGTGCCAATCTTTGTAGGTTACAACCATCTTCTGAACAATCTTCTTTATGTTCTTATTGGCTGCTTCAACGACGCCATTCATCTTCGGCCGATAAGGAGATGAGTTGTGGTGTTCAATCTTAAAACTCTGGCACAGCTCCTTCATCATCTTGTTATTCAGATTCGAACCATTATCAGTAATGATCCGCTCGGGAATTCCGTAACAATAGATGATGTCCCTCTTTATGAATTTAGCCACCACCTGCTTGGTCACATTAGCATACGAGGCTGCCTCCACCCACTTGGTGAAGTAGTCGATAGCTACTAGAATGAAGTGATGACCGTTAGATGCAGTGGGCTCGATCTTGCCTATCATGTCGATGCCCCACATGGAGAACGGCCACGGGGAGGACATGACATTTAACAGGCACGGCGGCACATGAACTTTATCGGCATAAATCTGGCATTTATGACATCTCTTCGCGAACCTGA